GTCGGCCGACCCTTTGATCCCAAAGATCGCATTGAAGTCGCCTTTTATTGTGTGGTTATGTCCATAGCTTTTGGGCGAATGTGAGTCAAAAAAGTAGTTAAAAAGTGTTAATAATTAAAAATATTTGCCTAAAAAAGTTAATATAATTGTAGCCTGGTGTCTTATTAATTTGAAAATTTACTTTTCTATAAGTTTCACATCAAAAGACCCTGAATATAGACGCCTACACGACATAACGAACGTATTCTTCCAATTGGGCGATAAGTTGGCGCTCATTGAGTTCGTGCCCATACTTCGTGTGCCGTTATTTCAATACGTGAACCGATTTCGACAAAATACCGAGAATTACAAGTCGTTTATCAGGGACAATTTTGGTACACATCTAGACACATACACGCCGGGAGTGATCCGAGACTTTTCCGACGCCCTAATTGCCGCCAAACTCGAGACCATTGACGGTAACCACGAGTCGGCCCAATATCTCACGGATCGAGTAATTAATAAAAGTTTTATTTTTAATTTGATAATAATTTTTGTTGCGATGTCTGTCCAGAACATAGCGCTGGCCCTGTGGGACGTGTTTGTCACCGCCACCGATGACACCCAATTCACCTACAATTGGATGATTTTACTGCTGGCTAACTGTCCGCACATTCAGCAAACAGTACGCCAAGAGATAGACGACAAGATTGGCGACAGACTCGCCATTCATGAAGACCTCAATGAATGCCATTATATAAACGCTTTCATATCGGAGGCGTTGCGGTACCGGAACGCCAACCCGTTAGGCGTTCCTCATAAGACACTGGAGGACACGGATATCGGTATTGATTTGTAGTTTTAATTGATCGATAAATAGTTATCAAAAACATATTTGTAAACACTTTTCAGACGGCATCTCAATACCGGCCAACACGACGGTAGTGTGCCATCAGTTTTCAATACTCAATGACCCGGACTATTGGTCAGAGCCTCATGTGTTCAAACCGGAGCGCTTCCTAAGCGACGGCCACTACGTGCCCACCCGTGCGCCCCATTACGTGCCCTTCGGGGTGGGCCGTCGCAAGTGTTTGGGCGATAGGCTGGCCATCAATGAGTTGTTTTTAGTTTTGGTGGCATTCATGCAATCGACCCACGACTACGACATCTCATTAGCTACCGGCCCGGGAACTGCCGACTTACAGCCCGACCCCCAACAGGTGGTGCTGTTCTGTACCCCCAAACCGTTTGAAATTGTGTTGAATTATCGCAAACAGTAATCAGTTTTTTCCGTAAAAATGAAAATATATTCTCATATTTATATACAACAGTATATTATGTGATATCTTAACGAATAAAGCATTTCTATGTAATAATAATAATAATAATAATATTCAGTATATATTCTGTATAACAATAATTATAACTTATTCTTCTCTATACTTATATAATTTATATTCAGCGTATATTTTCTAATATATAATTCATAGCACAATAACATATACACAGTATATATATAAATAGTATATAAACAACAATAAAAACTTGACATAAAATTCTGTATGAATTCCGCGTAAAAGCCATACATTTAAGCGATTCTTATGATATGTTTTTTGTATGTTTTTCGTGTAGTGTCTGTGTGTTTGTGACCGAGAATTACAATACAAAACATAGGTTTATACAGTAATCATGAAAAAAGTTACGGCGCTATTATCAGCAAATAATATGGCCAATAAACCAGGTTAAATGCTATGAATAACAATGGGAACACACATCGGCTGGCGATGTCGATCCTCTCGGGCCTCATCTCATCCCTGGCCACTCCGGTGGTCGACAATACGGTCGTGGTTTTGGCCTCAACTTTGTCACCAGCTTTAGACCACTGTTTGTTTTCCGTGACAATGGTTTCCGTGCCGTTTGTTTGCTATGGATTCGTGAGAAATGCAAATAATTCATTAGAAATAAAAGTTTTTGTTTTGTTTTTGAGACAATATTTATAGTTATATAACAATAGCGTGTGTTCACTAGAAATATAAATACAATGTTTAAGAAATATGTATACATGACTTGTATTTGTATTTCCTTATTGTGGGTATTTTTTGGGGAAGTTTTTGGTTTTCTTTATGAATATTCTTGTAATAGCGTGTGTTCACTAGAAATATAAATACAATGTTTAAGAAATATGTATACATGACTTGTATTTGTATTTCCTTATTGTGGGTATTTTTTGGGGAAGTTTTTGGTTTTCTTTATGAATATTCTTGTGGTATAACTATAAGTTGTTTTGACGCAAAATATTTTCTATGAATTTCTGAACAATACTTATTCATTATCTATTGATTCACAATCGCTTATTAATGGTTACAATATGAGACATTAGAAATAGGTACAGAAATTAGCTGGTACATTACATACATAGAAAAATCCTATTATGAAATATTGCTATTTGATTCCTTGAAATGCATTTGTTATTTTGGACTATATTTAGAAACACATGTATAGATGATACGGTATCATTATAATTGTCCAAAATATAATTTCTAAGTATTCTTGAAATTTAAGATTATTTCTGAGTTATTGAATTCATATGATATGTGCTCGGGTTTCATAATTTGAGATCAAACTTAATCTTTGAGATAGAATTGTAAGACATGTTTTGAATATTAAATTCTGTGTATAATAATAATTCTGAAAATATGCTTTTATTGACAAATATTTCTTATATAGTATTCAAAATATAAGGAAAAATTTAAAGGAGTGAGAGAGAGTGAGAGAGG